TCTCTCTCTCTCTCTCTCTCTCTCTCTCTCGGCGCCAGGAAAACAAAACAAAACAACTAAAAAAAAACGAAAAAAGAGAGATTTGAGGCATTATCAATATCATTGACACAATACACAACTTGAATTAAAATTAAAATTTGAGTGGGTGTTTTTCGTATCGCAGGACACAATTAGAATTAGATCTCGATCTATTCCTCCCAACGATAGCACATAACAAGATTGTTCACTCAGCCCGAAAAGTTTTCGCAGAAGTCCGCGCATTGCTTCTGATGGCGCTCTTTCGTTTTTCCAAACTGGAAGAACAATACGATAAGCACAGTCGGTCAATTTCATTTTGATTGTTTTTCACACAAGCAGGGTAACTTTGTTCGCAAAATCCGCACTTTTTTCCAAGAGGGCGCAACACCAAAATTATTAATTTTGAGGACACTTTTTTAATTGGCTCAGAGAGAGGAGTGAACTTTCTTGTTATACCCGATCTTTGTCCCTACGCGATTACGGGGAAACATGAGGAAATGCTAGGCCCAATTAATTTCCATCCTTTTTTTAAAAAACGCCCTGAGCCAATAATATTTTGTAGTGTTCACACACCCTGTGCGAATAAAATTCCATAGTAATGTATTCACACACCCTGTGCGAATGACTACAGCCCTATACTATACTGCTGAAACTGTTCTAAGGCTCTTCCTACTTGTTTAATCGTTCATACAGTAAACATAATGGACGCCTTACATTGTGCTGTTTGCATCCAACTTCACTTGGAACATGAAATAAATATTTGACCATTCCTCACCATGGCAACCTTTATTCGTTGATCAGAATAATTATGTGTGCTATTTGGAGATGCTGTCATGAAATATATACGAAAAATGTATCTAGAATCTAGATCTAGATCTAGATTTAGATCTCTAGTGAATTGAAAGGACAGAATGGGGCGCCGTTCAAACTTGGAAATTGAAAGTTGAAAGGAAACCAACAAGACGAGTCGGCAGTCGGTGTGTTGTGGTCGAACTTAGAATTAAGACCAAGAAATAGAGATAAGTTTTCACCGTGCCAGACCAGGAAAATTGCAGAGAAAGCTGTCTTAATCTTAAATTATGATTAATCATTTGCTCACTGGACTTCATGTTGTATGGAGTATATATTGAACTTTGAACTTTCACAGTCTGAAGAATCTTAATCTAGATCTAGATCTAGATCTAGATCTAGTTCTAGACTAGAGATCTAGACTCTAGATCTAAGATCTAATCTAGATTCTAGATCTAAAGGAAGTGTCAACGTATATATTGACTCTGTGAACTTTGTGACTACTGTGAAAAACAAAGATGGCTGATATTTTGTACACTGGAAAACAAACAGACGCTAACTGTGGTGAGGAAGACACAACAATGTATAGATCTAGACTTTTCTCTGGAAATGGTAATGGCTGTGGATGTGTGAAAACTTGTGATTTTGTTCCTTGTTCTTCTGGAGAAGGTGTGAATCTTGGGATTGATAGCATTGTTAAAGGTGAACCTACGTCTAGTTCTGGGACTAGATCTAGATCTAGATCTAGTACGGGTACTCTTTGTACTGACAGTTTAAGGGAAGATATAAAACATGACATTATAGGTAGGGAAAGTGAATCTGTGGGTGTTGATGAGGAACATCTGTCAGTAAAAGAAGAGCCCAGTTTTGAATGTCTGTGTGACGCCAAGGCCGAGACAAATGACAAACTGAACGTTGAAAGTGAAAGTAGCCAGACTCTCAGACACAGTGTAGTAAAAGATGAGCCTATCTGTACAGAGGAGGAAGACGTGAAACCTGTCATTAAACCAGAGTGCCTCACAGATATCTATGCAGTGAAAACCGAACCACTATTTGGACATTTTCCTGACTTTGGTGATGAAGTGATACCGAAAGTGGAGAATTTTGTGAAAGAAGAAGTGTCAGAATGGGAAGTTTCAGACTTTGTAGAGGTAGAAAAGACAGAAGGACAAGTGGGAGATGTGGAGGATACGTGTACTGAGCCCGTGTTTGTTCAGGATCACATGAGTCAGGTTGGAGGACTACAGCTGCAAATCTCCAATGTGAGGAGCTTGTGTTTGGAGCAGAGTGCCAGCCCCGACACAGATGTTGTTGCTTCCAGTAGTCCAACTTCAACTTTCTCTGCCGATCCAGTCACAAGTTCAGGATCTGTTGTCTGGGCCAGCTGGGATCATGGTGAAAGTTCTGGTACGTAGATTATTTCTGTGTGTGGACTTTTCGATACGTTGTGTTTTGCATTTCTTGATGCGGTTTGTCAAGTTGTCAGTTGTTAATTAAAAATTGAGCTATTCCATGACGTGCCAGATACATATGCATATATAAATACGTATGTATCATGCAGTTATACTGGCATGACAAATTCATTGGGCCCAACGTACATGTTCATTGAATCTGAGTGTATGATACTTTATTTTGAATAATGAAGAATATACCACAAAGAAATGTTGTAAAGTGTTTCAAAGTAAATCTGCTTTTATTGGATCAGAAAAAGCTGTAGCGGCAATGGAATTTGCTGTTGAAATAAAATCAGACAAATTTATCGCGGCTCAAATTCATTCAAAATATAGAAAATTTCACAGGGCTTAAAAAAAACAAGCAAATAGCAGGACTTGGAACTGTCAGACAATTTACGTAATAATGCAAAATGTAATGAATTGGTCGGGTCTTACCTTGGATTTTGTTGAATCTGAGAGTCCTTTATAGCTCAATGTGAGCAACGAGTTGTGGCACAATGCTTAGCACACACCAACATCTGTTTCCACCGACCAGTGCTCAGTTCATTATAATAGATTTACATCTATCATGTCTAGACTTCCCTTTCATTGTTCAGTAGCCGGGGGTGGGGGTGAGTTTAGTTTAGTTTTAGTAGAGGTTTTACGGCACTCGCAACTGCATAAGTTCATTAGAGCGCCAGAAGATATAGCTGTTACAAGAGAGTAACAAACATAAAAAAGAAGTAGGGGAGATAAGGACGATAGATGTTGGATAGGAAAGAAGAAGCAAACCTCACCAGAGCACTCGCCAACTGCCAACGTTGGGGGTGATAATATGATTGTGACACACATTTGTATCTCTGTTGACTTTCAACGGGCCAGAGGTACACACTAAAGACAGCGCACAGCGCTCACTCGGCGGCTGATTCATAATCTCTTTCTGAACTTTCTCATGTACAATCGAACCTGCCCTGACGGCCACCTCTATACCTGGGACATTTCCCCCCTTGTATTTTTTCTATATAATTTAACTATGTAAAATGGCACATGTCCAACGTGGCCGTGGCCACCATATTTTAACACACAACCCCTATCACACCAAGCAATAACACCTGTCTTGGACGGCCACCTTAGTGACTCCATTACTTTTTGTCAAAAATCGAGCATTGATAGCTGACGTTGTGGGCCAGCTGTCATAATCCGATCACCTGTCGTTTTTGTTAGGTAGTCCCTCCAACCGATCATGTTGCGTAGGCCCCTCCCTCTGTTGACCAATAGGTAACAAATTTTCAGCTGCTGGTGAGGTAAACCTGTGATCCCTCATAACCCATAAGCCCCGAGATGAGTGGTCACTGTTTGCTCAGTCTGTAACAAAGTAACAATGGACGTCAACATGAACTTGTGACAGAAGCGTTGCTCGCAATTGGTTATTTTTTGTTTTACCCCTGCACATATCAATCGCGGTAGACAGATCTAGATGAGTCAAGATTGGCCACAGTTTAATTGTCTCTAGTCTCAGCCAGTCTTCCACAGGTCAAGATGGCAGTTGGTGCATCTATCCCGTTATATCGCCAGCCCCGCTGTACCGCCAACTTCATGCTCATCCCAAGGTAGGCGGTATAACGGGGTTTTGACTGATTGAAGTACCCGGTACATGCATTTTTAGACCCCTTTAACCCGATTCTCGTCAGTCCTATACCTTTCGCGTAGCACCGTGAGCTCTTAGAAAGTTTTGTCAGTTTCAGCAGTATAGGATGCAAGCCTACCAGCTTTTGACAGTTGTGTACTCTATTAAATTATTATTATTATTAAATTATTATTATAATAATTATATTACTTAGAACTATAACTGTCCCCATCGGATTATGCAATTATTTTGCAGTACCGCGGCTGCTTTTTTTTGCCTATAATTCTTCAACATTTGCATAATTTGGGATTCCCTTCATTTTTTTCACGTTTATAAAAAATTTTTACAAAACAATTTAACGCCTCACTATGTGATTAAAGGGAAGTAAGCACAGTAATAAGTCTCATTTAAGTGGCTAGTTGGTTATTTCCCTTGTTTTTCAATCCATCAAAAGGTGTTCTCATGTCTGCTGATCAGGGGCGAAGGCTGACTTGTTTGACAGGGTAATCAAAGTGAAATGGGACCAGATATGGCCTGTAGATATCACACAAGAATCTTACTCGAGGCGGCGACTCTGAGTTGTGAATGAAAACAAATCCGTAATTCATATTGTATGTTCAACCGCCAAAATAATCGGGAAAGTATCTTATTAAATATCAGTTCCCACTAAAATTAAACTTAACTTTAGATGTGAATACATAAACACAAAGCAAAGAAGCAGAGATGTTAGTACTAGATCTATATGTTATAGATCTACCAGTGAGTCTAACTCTTTGGTAGAACATGACAATTATTATTTTTTAAATTTCACATTTGGCTGTTTTTGTTAGCCTTTCGCAGCCAGGAGCTGGTGTCATAATCGAGGTCACGATCTGATTATAGGACGGTAAAAAGTCGAGGAAAAAAAACAAGCACAAGCAGCAGTCAAGAGATTATTAAGAGTTAGTTCCCCTCACATTTGTGAGGTAGACTCGACCAGTGTTAGTTAGCTTACTTAATCAGGGCTTGTGATTGATTTTAACTGTGGCCCCAAAGGGGTGAACAGGGTATGTGGCAATGAAACAGCTTTGACTGCCATGCACATGTTCCCTTCAACTCTATTCCAGCCTCACTTTAAGCTTACTTAATCAAAGCTTGCGACTGCTTATGGAGTGGCCCGAGAGGGGTGAGGAGGCTATTTCTGTGGCCGTGAAACCGTTTTGAATGTTAGGCATACTGTTCGTTGTTGGTTATGAACGTCTTTTTACATTTAATTTATGAGGTTTACGTTTAAGGATGAATTTGACAGCGACAATGTTTCAAAATTAGAAAGGGAAGCAGTGATTATTTGATTATATAGACGCTTCGCCCGTGCTGCTGATGTTCCATGTTTGACAGGTGTCCCTGGTTTTAGTGATGTGCCAGCATCAGAGGTCCAGATGTCTTTTTTTCTTCTTTTTTTTTCAAACATTTTTCTTTCCTCTATATCGCTGAAAGTTACAGAGATTATATATATTTTTTGGTTGTTTTTTTTTCCAGACTGATGTGTATCTTTCCAAATACACAAAAAACTACTGATACTGATATTATTAACATGTTCTGTTTTCAATTCATAGATCTATAACATTAAAATTCTTGTTGAAAAAGTGCACAACATGTTGTGAATGGCTTACGGTAACTTGCATAATTTTTTCATAATTTTACATTTGTCTTGCATAATTTGGCCATTTAAATTTGCTTAATAAAATTCTGTCGGGACAGCTATAGCATTATCATTATTATTATTATTGTACATTGGTAGAGAAACTAGACTTCAATTTTTTTACCTCTGTCTTTTTAAAAATTAGTTTTAACTAACAAAATGTTTTTCAAGACACCTTTATCATGCTCATATGACTAGCATCATTATGATTGGTCTAGACTATATCTGAGACAAAAGTACACATGACGCCTTTTTGCTTTTTTTTTTTTAAATGACGTGCGGCAGTTTTGCATTTTTTCCAATATATCGCAATAGCAAGGGTTAAAACTCCTTAACTCATGGGCTAGTTATTTTGTATAAAGTCCTTATCTTTTTGTGCCTCAAAGTGTGTGCCTATCGGAAAACTATTGCCCCGGGTTATGGAAGATTTGAAGCGATGGAATTAATCCTTTCTCTAGATTTTGAGAAATCGGCCTTTGAATGTTCTTTTCTCCTCTTTGCACCTTGTAATTTATTAGCTGAACAAATATTTTTACAGCACTTACATCATCTTATAATATTTGAGTTTTACATCCTATGAAAGTACACATTCTTGGCTCCACAGAGACCCCCAACATAAAAATCTAGTATTTTCTTAATTTCTCGACAATCAAGGGCAGTAACTCTGTAGATTGCCAACATTTTGATGCAAACTTTTTTTTGGGGAGGTCCCTAGGTCCTACCCTCTCAGAAAATCATGGTGGCGAAAAATCCCCCGGAGGGGGTGGGGGTGGGGGGTTCACTCCCAGTAGCCCATAGATCTCTCTCTCT